CTGCGAGCAGTCCCTTCAAGCTTCTACCAAGTAATCAAGTTCCCCACCCCATGGGGAATGTTTAGCATTCGGGGGCGAGCCGCGCACTGCACAAGAATGCTACCGAATCGCTCAAGACTGCGCCCACACCAAACAGTTGGAGGGAGCAAGTGCGGAGGCATAGCAATCAGCCATGTCGGGGACTAAGGTCGACCCGACAATGGAAGTCATCGAAGATCCCGACGTCGTAGAAGCCTGCGTCACCAACCACACAAAGAAAGCCTACATCGGGCATAGCCTCTGCGATCCAAGTAAGTACCGTGAATTTCTAACTAACCACGTGGATCTGTTTGCCTTTTCTCATTCAGATATGCCGGGGATCCCGAAAGACATCACCACCCACAAGCTGAACGTCGACCCGCTGTATCCGCCCGTGCGGCAATTCAGAAGAAAGTTCAACGCCGCAATCAACGAGGCGGTCAGTGAAGAAGTAGATAAGCTACTGGCCAACGGGTCCATCAGAGAAGCAAAATACCCCAATGGGTCGCCAACGTCGTCATGGTCAAAAAGAAAAACGGGAAATGGAGAATGTGCGTAGATTTCACCAACCTTAACAAGGCGTGCCCAAAAGATTCATTCCCGTTACCCCACATCGACCAGTTGATCGACGCCACGGCAGGACATGAACTGCTAAGCTTCTTAGATGCCTACTCCGGCTACAACCAGATCATGATGGCCGAAGAGGACCAAGAAAAGACAACCAGATCATGATGGCCGAAGAGGACCAAGAAATGCGCCTTCGGCATGGCCTCGGGAAAATTTTTGGGTTTCCTCATGTCACAACGGGGTATCAAGGTCAACCCGGACCAAATCAAGGCAATAGACGCAATACCTGAGGCTTTGAACCGCAAAAAGCAGGTACAAAAGCTGACGGGGCAAATAGCCGCCCTATCCAGGTTCATCTCGAGATCCTCCGACAGATGCCACAAATTTTTCAACGTACTGAGGAAAGATCACGGGCTACAATGGAACGAGGAATGCATCGAGGCCCTGAGAAAATTAAAGGCATATTTATCTTCACCACCGCCGCTAGTCAAAGCGAATCCAGGCGAGCCTTTGCTAGTATATCTGGCGGTATCCGAAGTCGCCGTCAGCGCAGTCCTGGTTCGCGAAAACAAAGCTACGCAGTCTCCTATTTATTATATCAGTAAAACCCCGGTGGATGCCGAGACACGGTACCCACACCTTGAGAAACTGGCCTTGGCACTGGTCGTAGCTTCACGAAAGCTTAGACCCTATTTTCAGTGCCACCCCATAAAGGTAATAACGACCTTCCCCCTGAGAAGCATCCTACACAAGCCTGAGCTGTCTGGCAGGCTCGCCAGATGGGCCATAGAGCTCAGCGAGCACGACATATCCTATAGCCCAAGAAACTCCATCAAGTCGCAGGTACTTGCCGACTTTGTCACCGATTTCAGCACAGAGATATTGCCGAAGGCGGAATTGGAGGCCATTCGTGCTTCCTCCAGTGCCGACCTTTGGACTCTCTACACTGACGGCGCCGCCAATGCCTCGGGCTCGGGACTGGGACTCGTTCTCGAAGTCCCCACAGGCGAAGTGATTCGCCAGTCCATACGATGCCCCGAGATGACTAACCATGAAGCCGAGTATAAGGATGTGGTTGCAGGTATAAAATTAGCCGTCAAGTACGGGGCTCGACGACTTGTCCTCCATTGTGACTCCCAATTCGTGGTGAAACAGATCACCGGGACTTACCAAATCAAGGAGCAGAGACTGCAAAAATACCAATCGGAAGTCCACAAGCTAATGCTTGAGTTCGACGAGTGCCGCCTTGAGCAAATCCCTAGGGCGCAAAATGTCAAAGCAGACGGCTTAGCGAAACTGGCCGCAGCCACCAAAAATATCAACAAAGGGAGTGTAGTCACCCTCCTCCATTCGGCCATAGACCATGCTGAGGTACTCTCTTTAAATCTAACTTGGGACTGGCGCAACCATTACGTCTCCTATCTGCAGGACGGGACACTCCCACTCGACAAAAAAGAAGCCAAAAAGCTCTGTGTACAAGCCGCCCGGTACTGCCTAATAAATCACGATCTATACAAAAGGACGTTTGGCGGACCCCTCGCTAAGTGCTTGGGGCCGCACCAAACAAGGCCAGTACTCGAAGAGGTGCACGAGGGTCACTGTGGCGCACATACCGGTAACCGCGCCCTCGTCCGTTGCATTATTCGAGCCGGATACTACTGGCCCACTATGAAAAAGGAGGCAACAGAGTATGTTCGCAGGTGCGAACAGTGCCAAAAATACGCCCCCATGATACATCAACCGGGAAAGCCCCTCCACTTAGTAACCTCACCTTGGCCCTTCATCAAATGGGGCACATAATCGGTCCCCTACCAGCCGGGCGAGGAAAGGTACGGTTTCTGTTAGTTTTAACTGACTATTTTTCCAAGTGGGTGGAAGCAGGTGCGTATGCCCAAATATGCGAACAGGAAGTTATCGCCTTCATATGGAAAAACATCATATGCCATTTCGGCATCCCCAAGGAAATCAGCTGCGACAACGGCCCCCAATTCGTTGGCAAAAAGACAACGGAGTTCTTCGACAAATGGCACATCAAACGAATACTCTCCACGCCATATCACCCTGCCACCAACGGACAAGCAGAATCCTCAAACAAAACAATACTGAACATACTGAAGAAGAAACTTGAAGAAGCCAAAGGGCTCTGGCCCGAACTACTACCAGAAGTACTGTGGGCACATCGAACCACGCCCAAATCCAGCACGGGAGAAACTCCGTACTCACTGGTCTACGAAACCGATGCGGTCATACCCGTCGAAATCGGAGAACCAAGCCTGAGATATTATTATCTGCAAAACATAAAGGTTAGGCCCTACCCCCACCAGACTCGACTATTTAACATCAACAATTAGCATTAGGCATTTAGTTCTCCAAATAAATGCACAGAACGTGGTGGTGTCCGTTGGGTTTGGGGAAACCCAGTGGACTTTGGACAGGGCTATCTTAAAGGATGATTATATGGACAACATAACTGATCCGTCTAGGTTTGACCATGATGCATGAATAATTTAAACGGAGTAAAGTCTCTATGGGTTTTAGACTGGTACCCTTGAGCGGACAACTCACGGGGGAAAGGCGCGGAACCGTCGACTACACCGTTGATCGACTGGTTTTACCGCAAATATGCCTTTCTGAATTTAGGGGGTGAATAATATTGGAAGAGCGAAACCACTCATTATAAGCGTTGCTATGGTATTTGTTTGGCACGAGTGGAATATGATGTTGAGCATGATTATGCAATAATTAAAAGCATGTTGTCATGTATTTGCATGTTAAGAAAGCAGTAAATACAACAGTTTATAATTTAAAACAGTAATAAAGAAAAGAAACGAAGAAGATAAGTCAGTTTTGCCTTTGAAAAGAAATTAAACGCTTAAAGGAATGTAAACTAGTAATTGCATATAAAGGGAAGGGACAAATTCACAAGACCAATCTAAAATGGTAAAAGCCTAAAAACAAATCCCCAGCAGAGTCGCCATGCTGTCGCGCCCCCTTTTTTCCCTCCTCGCGTCGGGAGAATCGGGTTTATGACATTTGGGTATGGGACAACTCGTTCCTTTTGGGAACTGGGTTTAGCATTTTTGAAGAGTCACCACCTAATGATTTATGGTGCATTAGGACATCTACAAGGTGCAATTACAACTACATTTTGATAACCAGAGATTGGGTAAGGGCTTGAAATTATCCCAAGGGGAAGGTGTTAGGCACCCCTCAGGATCCACTAGTGTGGTTCCCGGCCAGACAATTCCTTGTGAATTTGGTAAAATTACCATGTAAGCAGATAAGGCTCAAATAAGAGGGGATTTTAATACACAAATGCTTGAAAATAAACAAGGTGCGAAAGAGCAATTATTAAAAAGGCCGATTTTTGAAAAGAAGTCATAATACTTTAAAAGCAAAGAAAGAGGGGGGAGTCCTAGGTTTATTTATAATATGGATTACATCAATACAATACCCGGTAATCACTCCTCAAAGAGGGGCTACACGTGGTATTAGCACACCGGTCATCATATCCATATCTACCCTTCACACCCTGTTAAGGTACTAAAGCGCGGATTGGTCTCGACCACTATTGCATACTATTACCCGTCCCATTCCTATCAGTCCCGGAGGCACTTAGGACTACTATT